CTGGTACCATTGCAGTAGAGATCCTTGAAAAGGTAATGGTTAGCAGATGATCTCTCTAAATCCATTCATTCGTGCTGATTGCAGGTTCCTGATATAGATGCTATACTTTCCCCATGTGGTGGAGGTGGACTTTTAGCTGGGTGCTGTGTTGCAGCTAAAGCACTTTCGCCCAAAACCAAAGTGATAGGTTTAGTACCAGAGACTTGCGTTTCGATGATTGTAAGTTTTCTTATTATGGGTAGAAAGTGATATAAAATAGTGTGAAATATTCCAGAAATCGCTAGAAGCAGGAAGAGTTACGACTGTCAAAACCAATCCAACGCTAGCTGACGGTTTAGCTGTCCCAACAGTTGGATATAACTCTTTTCATAATATAAAGGGTCAGTTGAACAGTTACACCTTCGTCAAAAGTGCCACTTGCATACGCACACGATTCGCGTCAAAAATTGAGCACGTTGTACTCATAACAGCTGTGTTAGCGATTAATTTTTTAGCCGAGTAGCTTAACAAGCTTTAAAAGATCATCTAGAAATATAGCGCTGCAAGCCTTTATCTAAGTATGGGGAAAATGTGGACGCACACTTCTCGACGTGCTTTCACCAAATCAAAAAGTTATAACAGTTTCCAGGTGAAGCCAGTTGAACCACTTCGCGAAATGAAACATTAAGGCCCGTATTAAAGTCCGCTTAAAGATTATCTGAGGTCGGGATCAGGTGAACTCACTCCAAGCAGCAAGGTTCAGGGAAGCAATTGATTGGAAAAGTCTATTGCATACGAGTCACATTCAAATAGAGTTTCAAAACTCTGTCATGTCGTTAGTTAATAATTCAGCGGTTCATTGGCTGTCATTGAGCAACTGACCATGGCTCGAATCCGTTCAAGGCGATATTGTTTCGCCGGAGTGGAGGTACATGAAGGATCATAGGTGACTGTAAAGTTGGAGACAGAACTCTTGCGAACCACATCATTGATTAGGAGAGAATATTGGGGGAACTGTTAGTAAAAGTGTGCAGTTTTGGGTCGGTGATGCTTCACATCGACGCGAAATTACACATCGTCAGAGGAACTCGTAAAATGATTGCGAGCAAGTTACGAGTTCCCCTGACGGGCTCCCATGAAACAAACACTATTTCCCTCCTTGACCCGTCAGGAAAACTCTCCTTTAACGGCTTCAATTATCTCAGCGCAGGGCTTTGCATGATCGTGATCTCTTCCCGGATGGGAGGGATCGACATCAGTAACTCGATAAAGTTAGACGGGCCCGTCAGATCAGGTCACTTCATTTGAGGGGAGCTTTAGTAGACCCCTAAGATGAGATGATCTATAATGTGAAGATTCTTAGAAACC